GCCCAAAGCCTGGAGCCTCCTTTGGATTCTGTGTCTCCCTTTTCTCTGCTCCTCCCCCGCTAGTGCTCAGTCTCTCAAAAATAAACATTAAAAAAAATTTTTTTAAATAAATAAATACCCCTTAGATGAAGCCTTATTTTGTGAGGTTTGTCTTTAGCATGTGTATATACCACTTTCGGAAAGCCACTGGTAGCCTATTGTCTTGGAATTTCACATAACGTTTTAAAATTTCCAACAAGCATTGAAATATTTCTTATTTTAGTGCCCTTTTCAATTGCTAATTCAGATTAGAAAAGTTTCTTGATAATTCTTTAATATAATTTCTAATATAATTAGATTTATTACTTGTATTAGCTTCTTACTGCTGTTACAAATTATTGCCAGCTTAGTAGCTTAAAACAACACAAATTTATTACACGTTCTGGAGGTCGGAAGTCCTAAAATCAAGATGGCAGCACAACTGGGATACTTCGGGAGGCTCTACGGGAGACTGTTTTCTCCCCTTTCCCTGCTTATAGAGACCACCAGCGCTTCTTGGCTTATGGCCTCATCCTCCATCTCCAAAGTGATCAGCAAAGCATCTTCCAATCTCTCTCATCTTCTGCTTGCCTCTTATAAGAAACTTGTGATTATATTGGGCCCCCCACCTCAAAACCCTTAATTAAATCATATCTGCAAAGCCTCTTCTGCTGTATAACAGAACACATTCACAGGTTCCTAGGGGTCATTATTTAGCCTACCACACTACTGCTTCTATCATTACTACCACTGGCTAAAATTTGATTGTATATCATGAGCTAAGCACAGTGCTAACTGCTTTGCATTTTTTTGATCTCAGTTAACCCACAAGCCCCACATTAAGATTGTGTAACTTTCTCAGGCTTGTGACTAAGTCATTGTTTTCTGATAAATGACAGTAATTCATCATAAAATTGAATAGCAATGGTTCACAAAATCTGCATTTCTACTCCTATCTAGCACTGTATATGCCTTGTATATGCCTACAAGTTAACTGTAAGAGTACACACTCGTAGTTTTAGAAAAATCTAAGTTATGCAGGTAGAAATTTGCATCTAGAAATAAGCTGTATTTACAGTTGTTGGAACTAAAGCTGTAGTTACTGGGTTGTTAGCTTATATCACTGAGGCCAATGCTAGTTAGATTTATGGTTGCTCCACCTAAGTAGGGCATTTCACTGCACTCAGCTTAGAAATTACGACGTAAACTTTTGAGCAAGATACTAGGAAATGCAGACCTTTAACCATGGCCTTCATCAGGAAAGTGTGGGTTAATGCCCAAAATCCATCACTGCTGCTCAAAAACCAGTTTATAAACCGATGAACATTGAAGAGTCTCTCATTATCATGTAGTTGAGTAGCATGTTTAGTGTACGCCTGCCACTCAAATATATTAGATGCAGTCCTTAATGTACTGTGAAACACTATTAAGTGCAGCTGATGTATCTAAACGGAAGGCCCACCAAATGACAATCTGGCACCTAAAACTTGCTAGGTATTAGAAGGGTTCGAGGCTCTTGTACACTAGTTTGAGCCCCTTAGGTGTCTGACTTAAGGCTTTTTTTAAAGACTGGATATGATTGAGATATATAGTCATAAACCTTGAATACAGAAATAGTTTAGCCCAGCGGCTTCCAGCCTGTTGGCTATAAACTCTAGCAGCATATGGGAGTTATTGTAAGGAACCCATTAATCCATTTGAGCACCAAATGTTGTCTGTAGGCTAGGTATATTCTACTTATCAAACACAGATATGCTTGTGATGAGTAACACAAATTTTCATGAAAAGATCACTGAATTCAAAGTTTATAATTATTTTTCCTTTTATTAATCATTAGATGCTTAGGGCAATTAAATCCATGAAGTTCCGATTTGCTCAGAGTGGTAGGGCACCTTTGCTTTAGCTTAGAAAATTCAGCAAAGTGTCCATGAAACAATTCTAACACACAGATACTTCAAGTGAGATTAAAGCTTTAAAAGAGCTCATCTGACAGGCTCCCAGAAGATATGCTGAGGAATGAGCTGAGTAGTAACGTATTAATTAAGACCAATAATAATGCTGATGAAAACTTTCAATAGCAAAATTTTCTTTCTACCGTATCTTATGAGAAAGGTTAGGAAGAGAAGGTAAAAAGTACTGTTTCATTTCTTTAACTTGCCCAGAGTATCTAAATCAATAAACTGTAAAGGGCAGGTTTTTAAAACCAACACGATCTTCTCTAAATATTATATATCTGGCTTTTAATTTGTAAATAAACACTATCAGTTTGTATAGGACTTTACAAAAAATGTTTGCATTGTAGGATCTCTTATTTGTAGTCTTTGTAAATCAAACTTCTTTTACAAAGATGAGAAAACTAACCATTTGAAAGGTTAAGTGATTTTTCCAAGATTATAGTATAGGTAGAATGGAAGAGCTTAAGTTATTAAAAAAAAAAATACACACAATAGCAGCAACATAAATAATGTGGATTAGGTTTTAGAAATGTCATACAGAATTTTCTAAACACATTTTGATTATTTGATCCCAATTAAGGAAAGCTAGAAACATTTTATGGTCATCTAATCTTCATTAAATGGAGGAAAAAACCCACTGATTTAAGCAGACTATATACAGCACTGAATGTTGAATATATTCATTAAAATTTTTTTTTAATGTTTATTTTTGAGAGAGACAGACAGACAGACAGAGCATGAGTTGGGGAGGGGCAGAGAGGGAGACACAGAATCCGAAGCAGGCTCCAGGCTCTGTCTGAGCTGTCAGCACAGAGTTCGACACAGGACTCAAACTCATGAACCATGAGGGCATGACCTGAGCCAAAGTTGTAGGTTTAACCAAGTGAGCCACCCAGATGTCTCGAATGTTGAATATATTCTTTTTCAATCATTTTCAGACCTAGTATAATAAAATTTCCTCTTTAAAGATTAGTGTTTCAGGGGCACCTGAGTGGCTCAGTCAGTTGAGTGTCCAACTTGGGCTCTGGTCATGATCTCACAGTTCGGGAGTTCTAGCCCCACGTCGGGCTCTGTGCTGACAGCTCAGAGCCTGGAGCCTGCTTTGGATTCTGGGACTCCTTCCCTCTCTGCTCCTCCCCCACTCCCACTTGGTCTCTCTCAAAAAAATAAACAAACATTTAAAAAAGATTAGTATTTCAGGCTCTAATGATTTTCTTTATATTTATAATTTACTAAAATAGGTTTGTAGCAAAAGGCAGAGTTAGGTTTTAGAATTTATAATTACAAAGGATCCAATATTTATAAACTTTGCACATATTAAAAGCCCTTCCTGTCTATAGGAGTGTGTGACAGTTTGTAGTCTCTGCTTGGAAATCTTAACCATAGTATAAATTAAGTTGGCTGAGGGGCCCCTGAGTGGCTAAGTTGGTTGAGCGTCTGACTCTTGGTTTCCGCTCAGGTCATGATCTCATGGTTTGTGAGTTTGAGCCCTGCTTCGGGCTCTGGGTGGAGAGCCTCTGATGGTGCAGAGCCTGCTTAGGAGTCTCCCTGACTCTCCCCTGTGCATGAGGCATGTGTGTGTGGTTTCTCAAAATAAATAAACTTAAAAAAAGTCTTTTTAAATTAAGTTGGCTGAAAGCTAAGGTGCTTAACAGCTGACAAGATTTCTATAATTCCTTTTCATATAATTCCCTACAGCACCTGTAGACGGGGACAACCTGCCCATATTTTTCATTATAGCTGTTTGCTGATATACAACTTGTCTCTTTTCCTCAAATATTTACCTGCAAAATGAAATATTCACTGTTCTCTTGTGACTTACAACTGACTGCTAGCTAATAATATAGTTTCTGCTGATTCCTAGAGCAAAAAAGTTTAAGCAGCAGGTTCTGGTTGGGTCTGTTCATTTAGTGAATCACACATCCATTCAACCAATCAACCAGCACTTACAGATCATCCACTATGTGCTGAATTCAATCATCGTAAATGGAACCAAAACAACAACAAAAAGTTTTAAAGAATTACCAGAACTTTTATTTTTGCTTAGTTTTATTAAAAAAATAAATATGTCATAAAGCTTTATTTTCTTTTAAGGAGAAAAAAAGGAACAAGTTTCATAAAATCAAATAAGCAACGGTAAGGTATCTTAACTTGAAAAAGATTGGGAATCACTGGTTTACAAGTTATAATTGAATGAAAGAACAACTGTAACAGCCACAGTTGGCTGTTTCATGCCAATGGCAGCAAACAACAAGATCAACTAGGGCAAAATAAATAATTGTGTGGAAGCCCTGATAAGTGCTTAAACAGACTCATTCACTGAGACATCAGTATAGATATATCTTGTTTTAAACAACACAGGAGTTCCTGAAAAGTTTTGTGTAAATGAAATAACCACAAACATACTAGGAGAGCTTGGTATCTGAAAGAATTCCATGGCAAGAATTCTTTTGTGAACAACGACTTCCACTTCTGTAAATCCAGGTATTTGCTTTGCTTAAGGCAAAACATACCTAGCTGCTACCTCTCTGAAGTGAGGCACTAGCATACACACCAAACATCACTCCAGCTGGGCCAGTGGCACAATTTCCCAGTTTGTGTTTCTATTAAGTAGTGTACAGTACAGAGTCAGCTAGGGAACCCAGCTGCGTCTGCAGTGCAGGCACAGGGGCAGGACAACCACCTTTAACATCAGTTCGGAGCCAATAAATGCTTTTGAGAGTCTACCTTGTGCAAAGCACAGTACTAAACCTTATCAATTCAGTTACAGACATAACTTTCTTTCTCTAAAACCTTCCGTCAGGGCCTAGGTCTGGAACTCTAAAATAAAGTAATACTACTAATCCTCAAGACTGGCTTTAACCAAACTAGCTGCCCAATTCCTTCAGATTGGGGTAGATGATAATGAAAGAGACTGAGTTTTCTAAGGCTGAAGTTTAACAACACAAGAATTATGTTTTATATAACCAGTTAGTGAAAAATTTTGCTGGTGACAAAAATTTTAAATGGTTTCTTTTTTTTTTTTGGTTTTTTTTTTTTTTACTTCCTCTGAATTCCCAGGCAAACTCTGGAGAACAGTTAAAGTCATCACTCTCTGGTTGGGTGATACATTTCAGTTTTGCTGATAGAAAATAAAAATTTCTTTCCACCCACCAGAATTTTGTGAATTTATCCTATACCACAAGTGATGCTTTGGACAGGGAGTAAGTATGGTAGTACCAGCTCCAGTCAGTTTTATCATTATAAATAAACAGAATCTTCACTTTGCTCACAGCCTCCATTTCATTTGGCCAAACTTCTACCAGGCTTAAGTCACATTTAATTCGTTAGGCTGTTCAGTTTCTTTTTTGAAAAAATGCTTCTAATACCATTGCTGCCTGTATGTACAAGTGTGAATAAAAAGAGTATGCAATCTATAGTCTTTTCCACACTGAGTACACTAACAACAATTAGTAAATAATTAAAGAATAAGTGGTCATTTTAAAACTTGTGTTTTTAAGAAAAAATTTCACTTTCTAGCACTTAAAAAAAAGGGGTTTTAAAAGTGCCCTATTAATGTCCAACACTGTTCCCACTCTGTCCCACCCATCTAAAACCTGCTACAAATGCTGGATTGAGTTCATATCAAATAACTTAGCGGTACCAAGATTTTTCAAATGGAAACAGTGTTACTGACTTCTTCATACTGGATAACAAAATAAGGGTAACTCTGGTCATCATTAAAAATGACAAAAATCTGAGGCTCAAAGAAATTATCCACACAAGAGTCATACAGGTCGCTGGTGACACTGCCAGGATTGACAGGAGGGGGCCGTCTCATGCCATGACTGCCCATCGTGTATCTGCCAGTTAGCACTTTGGCCAGAAACATGAAATGGACTCCTTTGGAGGACTTCTTAGAAAAGTTATGAGAGTAGCTTGCCTTCTTTGCAAAGTAACTGCCTTGTCCAAACATTGTAGCATGCTTTCCACAGACTCGAGGGTCAAAGTTGTGCTTGCAAATTCCATCTACCACATCCTGGGATGTTCCATGAAATAAATGTCTCTTATTTATTATTCTGTCACGGCCAAACATTTTCCTGTTCATATATTCCTTTTTCCTAAAGCAAAAAGTGGACAGGGAATTCAGAAAAAGGAAGGTATATATCAATTTAATAGGCAAGACATAGTCATAAACTTCTCCGTATGGTTTCAATGGGGAGGAAGCGTTAGTTAAAGTAGTTTTCAAGGGCAAAATGTCATTAAAGATCATACTAAAAGTTTACACTTATCTTTTCCACTGCAGATAAGAAAAGCCCTTTTATTTTATTTTAGATTTTCCCAACACTTGTTCACTTGCTTTCTCTTCCATTTCAAATCCAGGGCACAGACTTACCTTCTCAGGATGGCTTCTTTGTCTAATTCCACCAACCTGAGGGTCTCTTAATTCTCAGATTCCTCAAACCTGCGTGTATTCTTTTTGTACCACATTTGTTACTTGAGAGGCAGCACGGTCAAGTGATTAAGAGCAAAGCCTCTGGTGCTAAACTGCCAGGGTTCAAACTCCAGCACGTTATCTTATTAGTTGTATCACATGTGGGAAGTTACTGAGCTTTTATATGACTCAGTTTCCTCTCTGTAAAATGTGGGTTGCAATAATTGTACTTACAGGTCTGTTATGAGGCATATATATGAGTTAATATATGTGAGTTTGTATAATAAAATACAAACATATTGGGTTTTGTGAAGTCTTTATTATTATGCTCTGCGTTTGTTATTAGCTACATTAAGAAAAGCTCTCTTGAACTTTTCATACTGCTGACTCACCTTTTATATTTCTCCCAAAGAAACTGGTTTTGGACTCTCAATATTTGTAAAATTCTATATTTAAACTCAGGCACAGTCTTATGAAAAAGATTATAAATGATTCGATAACTTTTGTCCTCTACAGAAACAGGCACTTGGATGAAGTCCTGAGATGGATGCATATAAACCCAAGTTTCAGGGTAAAAGTTTGCTGAGGTGACCCCATCTGGGCAGATAATTTGTGATGATGAGGTTGCTTCAAGAGGCGGAGGAGCCTGTGTGGGAACACCACCAAGTGTCCTAGAAGGGAGAGGAAGGAATGTCAATGCAAAACATTCAGAGATAAGCACATCTCACATTAGAGTGCTCTATAGCAATATCTAATATTGTACTTTGTACAGCTTAAATGCTTATTTAAAAAACAATATAAAAATGCTATGTATTAAAGGACAAAAGCTTAGAGTAACACTGCCTGTATACAGATAACCTATTATTAGCTTCTTCCTGGCTTCCTCCTTGTGGAGAAAACTCTGGAATGTACTGCTACAAGGCAAGCAAGCAGGAACCAATTTACAAATATCTTTACTTTCTGAATCCTGGACTCCTCTTTTGCCTACACAGTTAAAGAAACTGTTTGAAGGAAACAGCGACAATTTATATGCATTCTTCAAACTTTGCTATACCAAGCAAAAAACTTACCATGACTAAAGGCTACATAGGTGGGGGGAGCAGAATAATGGGGAGACAAAGTAAGACAGGCAGTAATGACGTAAGATATTAAAAATAAAAAAGCTTATGCTTTTTGTATAAAAACAAACAAAAATCATTGGAGTAGGCACTGAAAGCTGACATTTCGCATTTGCTTCATTTTTCAGTATCACATATAAGAAAACCATCAACTGTATTCAAATTTTACAGCTTTAGGTGTGCTTAAGATAGAGCTAATTAACTTTAAGCTCTAGACACTAGAATGCATATTCTTGAACCTTTAAAAATTCAGGTCTTTATACTCTGAAGGATCGGTTTAGATGAGTATCAGCTTGAGGGTTTCTTATTCCTGCCCAATTAAATGCTTAAGTTTAAATTATATTTTTTTGGCCCATTTCAAAACAGAGCAAAAGGGAAGAATCAGAAAGATAGGAAATCCTGGCCCTGAGATCCAGATTCAGGGTCAGGGTATTGTAATACTCATCAGCACAGAGTGGTCACAAGGAAGCAGTAGGTCTGCCAAATGGATTAGGAAACTAAAATTTTCAAAAGAGCTTTGTGACACAGAGGTTACAACTGTGAATGAACATGCAAATAATCTCCAAGAGCATATATTACCATTACCCTCCTCATAATCATAGCCACCTGATAGTAAGCACATCCTATGAACAGGCTTTTTACACACAGTTATCACTGGCCTGCAAGATGGCTTGGTTATCCATACTTTTCAAATAAAGATCTTGCTAGCATAGTAGCAAAGAACAGAGACAGGATTTGAATCCAAGTCCATCTGCATCATTTCTAGATGCAGCATTCTCTATTTCTATATACCTCACATATATAGATAAAGACATATCGATAGATTTCTCTACCAAGGCTTGAAAGTGACAGATGTATACCAGGGTTGCAACTCAGGTTTGCCTGACTCCCACTGCCGCCGCCGCCACCACCACCACCTCACACAGTCTTTTAAGAGATGGTTTGTTAAGAAGCTAAAAGCTATAGAAGCACAACTGCCTCCTCTAACACCCATCCACACTTCAAGTAGTTGTGCCCACAATTTATCATGCCTGAAAATCCTTGTGAGATGCAGAGGAGTTCTGAATAGAGCCAGGGCTTACAGAACCCCCTAGGTTCTTTTAAGTTCAGGGGTCAACTTAAAGGGGCACTGGCTGTTCCAACCTTCATGGCAGAGGCACAATAGTTCTTGTCCTCTGGAGCATTTTCATAAATCCCTGACAGATTCCTCCAGAGCCTTCATTACTGGCACATTTTTCTGAAGAGAGGCCCCACTGCTTTAATCAGATTCTGAAAGGTCTGTAACTCCTTAAAAAGCCATCACTACTCTGGAGAGATGGCAGGAAACAGAGTATAGGCGCCTTATTTTTAGCTGTTCTCTCTATTCCTGCTCTGCAAAGAGCGTAAGTTCCAGCCTACCAGGTTTTCCAGTATTATTAGGGATTGAAGTTACCAAAAGAGGTTTCTGAGTTGAGGGAGGAAGGGAAGATTCTCCCAAACCACTCTGCCCAAAATAGGTTTTAGGCTGCTGTCACAGCTGTACTGAAAACCTGGCACTAACCATAGAAGACTCACACAGTTAAAGATGAGCCTGTGTAAATAAATGCTATCCATCCTAAACCATTACATTAGATTTTATCATCCATTTCTACCTCCAGATGCTTACTTTTAACAAGCCAACATCCAAATTAGGTTGAAACATAAAAATGCAGATAGACAGCTGTCTGATGGACTTCTACAGAGTCAGAAATACATATTCCAAGCACAATTACAAATGTGGCTTTATTTTCTGAGGATGTTGAGTTCGTATTTAGCTCATGGGTATTCCAATGACATACCGTGTGCTTCACAGTGTTGTACCAGGCAAAGCTGAAGGGTATAGAATTTATACTCCAGGACCTCTGAAGAATGGATTTTCAGAATCCAAGGTCATCTTTTGCACCCTTTCACTCCCCTTGCCATTTCAAAAGATGTTTCCTAACCCACTTTTACTGATGATATAAAAATTAACTTATTTTATCCTTTCTGAGGAGGAGTCAAAGAAACTCTATCAGGCTTTCCCATGACCATGAGGTGACTGTACCAGATAGATGTCCTTTCAGCTGAAATGAACTCCTAAACCTCTAAAACTGAGATTTGTTTGCTTATGCAGCCTCAGCTCAAATATTCCAATAATATTAAAAAGAATAAGCTCCTTCTTATCAGCCTCATTAAAAAGCAGCAAGCACAAGGAAAAAAAATATGTTCTTTGTAACTAAACTTGATTGTGGTAATCATTTTTGCAATATACATGTATCTGGAGTCATAAATGGACAGTTGTATGTCAGTTACAGCTCAATAAAACTGGAAGGAATAAAAAGCACCAACAGGGACTTTTCATTTATAAAGAGCCATATTTCCAGGAAATTCATAGATTAAGTCTTCTCTCCCCACTTCCCTTACTCTGGGCATTCCCAATTCTTAGGCATCTCTGACTCACTGAGAACTATAGCCTTTTTGACACCTATGTTTTAATTTGACTGCATTTACTTAAAAACAAAACTTTCTTCCTGGCTAAGATTAAAATTGTGGACTCTCTGACATCTATTTTTGCAGTCTGCCTTTTTTTTTTGTTTTTAAGAGAGAGAGACGGGGGGGGGGGGGGGGGTGGGGGGAGAGAGAGGGAGAGAGAGAGAGAGAGAGAGAGAGCGAGCATGGCAGAAGGGGGACAGAGAGAATCCCAAGCAGGTTCCACACACAGTGCAGAGCCCGGCATGGGGCTCAAATCGCAAGATCCTAGGAACATGACCTGAGCCGAATCAAGAGCTGGAAGCTGACTGAACCACCCAGGCTTCCCTGCAGTCTGCTTTTTGAAACTAATCCGCCTGTATTTTCTTCCCACTAGGCCTAAGTGCCCCACAGCTCTAGACTCTAGGGCAGATAGGAACTGAAGGGCTGCATTTACCCATTCCACTCTGAGGAACTTGCTGCTTCTTTTCTCTTTTTCACTGAAGTGTCTATTTGCTAAGCTCTTACTTTATACCTGATTATCACTGTTCCAGACAAGAAGACTAAAACAGAAAATTTTGAAAAGGAAAGGGAAGAGAAAATAAAGTGAATTTCTATGTTCTCTGGTAAGCCAATGTTATAAATAGTAAGGTGCCAAATATGTGGCATTAATTTTACTATTGCTTATATTATTTCTATAGTTCATGGTTTTACAAAATAAGCCTAAGTTTAAAAGGAAAGGGGGAGGGGTTATTCTACAATTACTTATCTTAGAATTGAAGCAAATCAATGTTCGCCATGCTGCAAAACTCCCCCAACAATGCAGTACTCGAATGAGCATTCTTACTCTCACTCAGAAGCTACATCTTGCTTGATTGGCTCAGCATGCCAAGCTGCTGGTCCCACTAATGAGTCCTACTGTCTCACTAGGAGGACAATATGTTCCTAACTACCGGACGCTGACACTGTCTCCAGCTGTGCTAGTAAAATCACAGAAATGGCATTTTTTTATTAGATTCTAATAAAAAAAAGAAACCTACAAGGTAAAATAATTCACACTTGGACTAGAAAGAAAGCACACATTTACCCCAAGCCAATATATATTTCTAAAATCAGCTTTACTAAAAATTGCTTTTGGATACTGAGCATTTTAGGGATTTTTATTCATTTGTATTTTTTTTTTTTGCATTTTGTTTTTTATGTTCCCTTTGCAATCTCATAATTAGAATCATTAAGATTCTGTCATAATGATCTGGGAAAAACATGGTTTGAGACTGAAATTTTTAAAAAAGCTAGTAAGAATAAAAAACAGCATCTCTAAGACTAGTAGAAGAGAAAAACCAGTATTACTCTAGGCCTTCCCATTCCATAAAACCAAGCAAACCTAGTATCATTTTAAAAATCAGGCTCTAGGGGCGCCTGGGTGGCTTAGTCGGTTAAGCGTCCGACTTTCGCTTAGGTCACAATCTCGCGGTTCATGGGTTCGAGCCCCGCGTCGGGCTCTGTGCTGACTGCCAGCTCAGAGCCTGGAGCCTATTTGGGAATCTGTGTCTCCCTCTCTCTCCGACCCTCCCCTGCTCACGATGTGTCTCTCTCTCTCCTAGAAATAAATAAAAATATTTAAAAAAATAAAAATAAAAATAAAAATCAGCCTCTAAATACGGTATATCTGACAAGAGTACATAATGATTTCCCTAGAGTTACTAACTTTTAAAGATGGCCATGCTATTGGTCACATGCTCCACCAAAAGTTCTGGCATCTATGGAGATGTGCCGGTTGTCTATTTAGAGGTGGGGAAGAAGAAATGGCACTTGGGAAAATGGAAGAAGAGCTCATCTATAATTCAGGAGGAATTCAGTCTCAACCCTAGAAATAGGACAGATAATTTTAGTGAGTATTACAGGAAGGTGGGCCTTACCTAGCATATGAGAATACAAATTATTTGAAAAGGATTCTTCCCAAGAAAATTCACTCAAGGAAGAACTGGAGAATGCCACCTTGGAGGACTCTCTCTACTTGTCCTGGCAGTTTACCTGGACTGAGAAATAGTCCCATTACATGGAAAGATATCATCAGGAAATTCAATCTTCACAAAGGAAGCAAATGCAAACTGTCTCATTCTAGATATAATTATTTTTAGTTGTGTAAAAATGTTACTTCTATTTGCTTTTTGGTACAAAAAAACAATTGGATAATCACTCTTTTAATGAGGTTAATTGTAGCTTATCTGAATGCTACTTTTTGAAGACTTCAACCCATAGAATAACTCAAAATTTCATATTCTAGAATAAGCATGTTAGTGTCTTCACTTAAAATCTTTTACTCTTTGGCATTCAGTTGTACATTTACATAAAATGAGAGTAAAGATTAGGCCTTCCATTGGACACTTACTGTAAATATGGCAGCAGTATAAAACAGGAGCGGAAGAGAGGTCTCCTTTTTATTTCTCTCCTGAAGAATGAGTTATGGAGGATGTAGTGGTTGTTCCACATCATAAATCGGACTTCTTTTAGGCCCCTAGAGTTGGCTTCTTCAATCAACCGAATAACAGACTGGAGCAGAAAACAGAAGATAAAGAAAAAACAAAGTTAGAAAAAGCAATCACTATGAAATATACAAAACGTTACTATAACTAAAGGCAAAAATAGCTAAGCTTGCTGTTGACATCAGTGAAGTTTCAATAAAGTACAGACAGTCAAACTAATTCCCTTTACACATAGGACTTTTGGGGAGGGAGTAGGGGGCAAAGATGCAGAATAGAAAGATGTTCTTTCTTCAGAAGATTGTGGTCCAACACAGGAAACACTGAGGCCCAGGGAACTACTCTATTCTATTTTGAGGCCTTAACAAAGTCCTAGAGATTTTTTTTTGTTTGTATTTCTTATGGGAATTTTCAGAAGAGAATTAAAGATGATAGTGTATACAGTTCAAATAAAGTAGTTAAGTTCTAACCCCAAGAAATCTTTCAGAAGAAAAACAGAGGGACAGCCCAAGTATTCTGAGAATACATTTTAAAGAGCCTCTTATTTTCCATGGAAGGTATTAGATACTAGTGATTGCTTAAAAGAGTCTCAGAAATTTTAATTCCATTGTGTATTATTAAGTAATTAACATATTAGGTCGTTTTCTTTTGTTATTGCCTTAAAAAAATTAAGGGTAAAGAAGTCAGTTCTCCCTTTTTGTAATGCTGGAAATGAATTTAATCAAGTTAAAGAAGTCAGATCTTTGGAATATGAAATTAATCTCTGAAGTCCATTTCATCATTTTAAAATGGACTCAGAATTCTCATTCAGAGGCAAAGCAAACCCATCATCATTTTGAAAAGCTTACTTTGTGATTGATGAGCTATTCTTACCATCTCAGACTAAGGATGCACATGCCAGAATTTTAAATGACTGATTTGCCTGACCACAGCTCAATAAACATTGTCAAGTATTTCTTATAGGGGCTTAAGAGTGCTGGTTTCCCGTCAGACTTCCGAAATGCTAAGTGTAACACAGGATCCAATGACCACGAGCCCTGGAGCTAGAAATAGCCAGACTTACACCAGTGCTCATCTCATTAAAATTAGGCCAAAGGGGCACTGAATTTGAGTACTTATTAATGTAAATACTTGGTCTCTATAGTATAAGATATTGGGGAAAACATTTTACCTCTCTAATAACAGTGGTTTGTAATTATGTATTCCAGAAGATTAATGGAAAGAAATACATCTTCAAAAAAAGCAAGAAAGAATAAGGTTACTTTTATCAATAAGTCTCAATTTTACATTAATAAGTTCTTTGATTTGTTGTTCTGTCTAGTCACTGTTGTAAAGGAAGAAAGAAAGGACAGTGAAAACCAAAAAAAAATTTAAATGTACTTTTTGGAAAAAGAACCTATAAATACCTCAGGATACTCTCTCCATCCAAAGTGGTCCCTACAGAAGAACTTCCAGACCGTGTGATAAATAGAATTTACATTGCTAGAGGGTGGTGTGGACAGCCTTCGTAGTTGGTCAAATTCAGTTGTTTCATACACATTCATGGCATTCAAATCTGCCCAAAATTCTTGTCCTCTAAAAAGATCCCCCCCCCCAAAAAAGAACTGTTAATAGATTGGCAAAATAGAAATATCTAAACATCTCATCAGACATCAAAAATATGTAGAATTTTCAAAACTTGTCTTATTTGGATTAAAAGGACATTACTGGTTTCCCCATTTCCTACGTGTTTTCTCTTAACAAGACCAAAAGTTCCAGGCCATGGAGTTATGGAAGGACTGATGCTATCCCACAGTCACTGACCTAAACCAATCAACATAATCCCACCCTCCCTACAGTGGGATGAACTAAACCCTAGTCTCAGCCAATCAGGCAGTCAGTTTTAAGATGAAGCTGACATAAAAGCAGGAAGAGAAACAAGAGACTTCTGTCGAAGCTTGCCCTTTTTTCAGAGGCATCAGTTTACCTAAGTCAATACCGGAATATATAATATTGCCTGATGAAAGACAGGAAAGGGGTGCCTGGGTGGCTCAGTTGGTTAAGCGTCCAACTCTTGATTTGGCTCAAGTCATGATCTCATAGTTTAGGCTGACAGTGCAGAGCCTGTTTGAGATTCTCTTTCTCTCCCTCTCTCTTTGCCCCTCCCCCACTTGTGTGCGCTTTCTCTCAAAATAAACAAATAAAACTTAAAAAAAGGAAAATATAAAAAGACCCCAGATGAGACCAGTATTGCTATTCTATCCAATATCAATACTATCCTTTATCCTGTGAGAGGGGAAAAAGAAAAGTTTGTAAAACATGAAGAGAAAAACAGTTGGGATTATTATTGTTTAGTTATGAGAATATTTTTGTAATTTAAAAATTTTTTAACATTTATTCATTTTTGAGACAGAGACAGAGCATGAATGGGGAAGGGGCAGAGAGAGAGGGAGACACAGAATCTGAAGCAAGCTCCAGGCTCTGAGCTGACAGCACAGAGCCTGATGCTGAGCTTCAATTCAGACTGTAAGATTATGACCCGAGCTGAAGCCGGACGCTTAACCAACTGAGCCACCCAGGCGCCCTGAGAATATTTTTGTAATTTTGTTATCTGGTCTGCTGCTGCTGAATCAGCACTTTATAAATATCTCAATACTATAAGGAGAAAATCTCACTCTATGAATCAAAATCATTTAAGAATTATAATGGGTGGTCCCATTAAAACCTCTTTCTTTTTTAATGAAACTTCATTAAAAATAATGAACTATTTTAAGTAACCAGAAAAATATTCATTGTACTGTTCATTTTGTGTATGTTTAAAATTGTTCCTAAGAAAGCATGAAAAATAAAGTATATCATAAAGTAACATCATAGGTATCAGCAGAGTGACTAAGTGTCCAAACACATTCCTTCATTTTTCCACCCTTTCCACAACAGATTTATTTCTAAATGGATGTCTCTAATACACAGGATAGTCCAGATCCAGTGGCACTCCCAATGACTGGTTCCCATGAAATCCAGGTATTTGAACAAATATTCCCAATAATTAACTAATTTCCTTGCCATAAATTAGGATTTTGAAAATGGTATTAATTCTGACCTATGGGTTTTGTTGGTTAATACAACACTTTACAAATTCTGCTCTTGGAACCCTTGTTTCAAGGACTGTGAATGGGTATTCTCCATAAAATGCATTCTGTGGTGAAATGTTTGAAAAAAACTTGGTTACACAAAGCTCAACAATTTACTTATTTCGGCCACTCCTCAGTCCCTTTCATATGCTAAGGTAAATACTGAAGTACCATGATGAGGGCTATAAAGCACCCTTCCAAACCTATGACAGCGCTCTCCCTTTTTTTCATGAATACCTAATAACATCCCTCTATTACACTCCTGGCAAATGTCAGGGCAAGAAAATCTATTTCCCATCCTCCATCCTAATGTTCATAATTTTTGAAATAGGTTCTATTTGAAAATAAAACAAAAAAAACCTAAGTCATATATACCAATTAATGGTACTATGAAGCACATAACTTGTAAAAGGCAGTATGCTCCTTTAAAACTTCCCCAAACCCTAATTTCCTGCTTAGAATGAGGAAAGACAGAAAGACAGAAAGGAAGTGAAAGAAAGAAAGAACTAAATAGTAGGATATGATCTTAAAGGGTTATATATATATATATATTTTTATTTATTTATTTATTTATTTATTTATTTTGAGGAGAGGAACACATATTTTTCATTAAGTGTGAAATGGGAATAAAACAATAAAATATAATTTAAAATTACATTTGGACACTTCTTTGTTTAAAATGATTTATTTCTGGAAAAAAATTTTTTTAATGTTTTAATTTATTTCTGAGAGACAGCATGAGCAGGGGAGGGTCAGAGAGAGAGGGAGACACAGAATCTGAAAAAGGATCCAGGCTCTGAGCTGGCTGTCAGCACAGAGCCTGACGCAGGGCTCGAACCCAAGAACCGTGAGATCATGACCTGAGCCGAAGTCGGATGCTTAACCGACTGAGCCACCCAGGCGCCCCAGGAAAATTCTTTAAAAAAAAAAAAAAAGAAAGAAAAAGAAGAAGAGGAAACACTGAAAACTGGAACTCTTATACCTAAATCAAACTTCACATCAACTTGTTTTAAACAATTTTCACTTAATTTTTGGAGAGTCTGATATCACTGAGGAGAGAGAGAATAACCTGTTTCCCCCTCTTAACATAGTTTCTAGTATATAAACAGATTTTCCCCACTGTAAGTTTATCTTCTAGTAACTGTTTCCAATTAAGTGTTAAATCCTCAGTGTTCTAAGGAATTCTTAGTGGCGCCTGGGTGGCTCAGGCGGTTAAGCATCCGACTTGGGCTCAGGTCATAATCTCACGGTTCTTTGAGTTTGAGCTCCGTGTTGGGCTCTGTGCTGACAGCTAGCTCAGAGCCTGGAGCCTGTCTTCAGATTCTGTATCTTCCTCTCTCTGACCCTCCCCTGCTTGCACTGTCTCTGACTCTCAAAAATAAATAGAAAACATTAAAAAAATTAAGAAATTCTTAGAATAGGGCACCTGGGTAGCTCAGCCAGTTAAGCATCCAACTCCTGATTTCCGCTCAGGTCATGATCTCAGGGTTGTGGGACAGAACTCCATGTCTGGCTCTGCACTGAGTGCGAGTCTACTTGTGATTCTCTCTCCCTCTTCATCTGCACCTCCCTAGCTTACGCTCTCTCTCTCTCTCTCTCTCAAAATAAATAAATAAACTTAAAAAAAAAAAAGGAATTCTCAGAACAGCAGTTATTATGTTAATATGCATTATAAACAGCCAATGCTTTTTGCTGTTCAAGTACCAGATTTTATTCTGGACATCATTCTAGCAATTTCTGTTTAAGCTTGTATTATTAAGACTTCATAGATAATGATTTGCATGAGAAAGACATCTAAAACTGCAGCCTTTGCCACATCCTTTGTGCATTTCAGTCCACTGGGCATTATGAAAATTCTATGACAAATCCTAATTTACTACAATCAACTGTTCTTTGGATTGATGTATCAAAGTACTGTTTTAGCTCTATTTGATTTTCAATATGCTTTTCTAGACTTTGCAGAGACAAAACAACAAATTTGAAAAACATTAAATTATCTTTTTATAAGATTAATTTTACCACCTGCTCTCCCTTAAACAGGGAATGCTTAAAAAATCCAAAGCCAAGAGTTTCTTTTCTCTTCCATCTGCATCAGTAGAAAATGCATGTAGTACAGATGCCAAATTTTCAACATACACCACTTTTCCTTATCAAACCATTGTTTCCTATTATAAGAAAGCAGTTATGAGTCATGTATATGTGATAATAGTGATGGTGGGCTGTATTAGGCAATACACAAAGAATTAAACAGATGTAGTTCCTGGCTTCCAGGGGCTTCAAGAGAGAAATAACTAACAAAACATAAAACCAAAGAGTCGGTACATCTGCCTATCTAAACTTAATAGTGGCAAATATATCCTGGCAATGAGAGGACAAAGAGTAGGCATGCAGCATTGTAGGAGAGGAGGTTACTTGTGTCCAGGAATGGCAGCATTTATTATGGGACATAAGGTGGTTACCGGTGCTCAGGAATGGAAAAAGATCAGGAAAAATTAAGAGGCTTTACTACACCAATCCAAGATAGCTTTCTGGTAGAGAAAGAATTTTAGGAACAGTTTAAATAGGAAATAATGCCAGTAAGCAAAGCGTTGTGTGGAAGAATAAGGAAAGAGTTCTTCAAGCACTTTGCCTTTTGGAAGAAGAGCGGGGACAGGGAAGGACAGGAGCAGTACAAATAGCTGGAAATGGAAATCTTTCAAACAGGGACACATAACAGAGGAGGGAATGTGAACCAGGATATAATAGGCAGCGTGAGAGATGTCAGGTCATGAACTGAGGAAGTAAGCCCAGAGTCTCAAGAGAGTCAAATAAGAGTGCAAATTTCGAGTATGGAGCCGACAGTGATAAAGGGTCAAAGCAGTAAATATAAGATGTGTGAAGACTGAGCAAGAGAAACAATGCTAGAGATTCAGAGGTATACTGAGGCTTTGTAAAAGCAGAGTGCAATAATCTGGTAGTTGAAAACCCTATCTGGCCTAAGGACATCCCCACTGAGGGACAGCCAGAAAAGTCTGAGATAGCCACTATGCAGGATTTACATTTGGCTAAATACATCATGTGGCTAAATCAATCAGTACTGACTTAACCCAAGATATAACCCTATCTAATGAATCAGAAACAAAAATCTTGTAAAAAGATGGATGATTTTTGCTACAAAGGGAAGAATGAACTTGAACTGCTGAAATATTAACAATTCTGTTTCCACATGCTTCACCAACAAACACATCACACATATCAATGTAAGAATCCAGATACAAAACTAATTTAAAATTCTGAAAAGAACACCCATTCTCATAATTTAGATGCTTTATAAAATGGTTTTCCTCCTACTCAACAAATACCATGACATACCAATTAAGAAAACATTCCCCAATATTTGTTATCTATATAAAGAGCATCAACACCTACACTAAGTCAGAATGTCCCACAATGTATATTCTTCTATGTATATTTCAAATACAAAAA